TATATAGTTAAGGGACGAAGACAAATGCAAGTACGTATGGAAAAATTGGGTCACCAACATTTGTAGCTTTCCCCAATTCCTCCCCACTACCCTCTAATATTCCTTGTAAGATACACACCATTCTTAATAGTTATACATGGGAGAGTTATGTAACTGGTAATGGTGAGCTGAGATGATCAGTAACGTCAACGATAGGTGGCAGAGGCATATTAGTGACAAGGGATTACATGTAATGTGGTTGTTTGTGACATAATGGTTTGGTAGGAACATGAGGGGGCAGTAAAGCAACAGCAAAGAACTACAGACCAATAGCACTAACATCCCATATCATAAAAATCTTTGAAAGGGTCCTAAGAAGCAAGATCACCACGCATCTAGAAACCCATCAGTTACACAACCCAGGGCAACATGGGTTTAGAACAGGTCGCTCCTGTCTGTCTCAACTATTGGACCACTACGACAAGGTCCTAAATGCACTAGAAGACAAAAAGAATGCAGATGTAATATATACAGACTTTGCAAAAGCCTTCGACAAGTGTGACCATGGCGTAATAGCGCACAAAATGCGTGCTAAAGGAATAACAGGAAAAGTCGGTCGATGGATCTATAATTTCCTCACTAACAGAACACAGAGAGTAGTCGTCAACAAAGTAAAGTCCGAGGCAGCTACGGTGAAAAGCTCTGTTCCACAAGGCACAGTACTCGCTCCCATCTTGTTCCTCATCCTTATATCCGACATAGACAAGGATGTCAGCCACAGCACCGTGTCTTCCTTTGCAGATGACACCCGAATCTGCATGACAGTGTCTTCCATTGCAGACACTGCAAAGCTCCAGGCAGACATCAACCAAATCTTTCAGTGGGCTGCAGAAAACAATATGAAGTTCAACGATGAGAAATTTCAATTACTCAGATATGGTAAACATGAGGAAATTAAATCTTCATCAGAGTACAAAACAAATTCTGGCCACAAAATAGAGCGAAACACCAACGTCAAAGACCTGGGAGTGATCATGTCGGAGGATCTCACCTTCAAGGACCATAACATTGTATCAATCGCATCTGCTAGAAAAATGACAGGATGGATAATGAGAACCTTCAAAACTAGGGAGGCCAAGCCCATGATGACACTCTTCAGGTCACTTGTTCTATCTAGGCTGGAATATTGCTGCACACTAACAGCACCTTTCAAGGCAGGTGAAATTGCCGACCTAGAAAATGTACAGAGAACTTTCACGGCGCGCATAACGGAGATAAAACACCTCAATTATTGGGAGCGCTTGAGGTTCCTAAACCTGTATTTCCTGGAACGCAGGAGGGAGAGATACATGATTATATACACCTGGAAAATCCTAGAGGGACTAGTACCGAACTTGCACACGAAAATCACTCACTACGAAAGCAAAAGACTTGGCAGACGATGCACCATCCCCCCAATGAAAAGCAGGGGTGTCACTAGCACGTTAAGAGACCATACAATAAGTGTCAGGGGCCCGAGACTGTTCAACTGCCTCCCAGCACACATAAGGGGGATTACCAACAGACCCCTGGCAGTCTTCAAGCTGGCACTGGACAAGCACCTAAAGTCAGTTCCGGATCAGCCGGGCTGTGGCTCGTATGTTGGTTTGCGTGCAGCCAGCAGCAACAGCCTGGTTGATCAGGCTCTGATCCACCAGGAGGCCTGGTCTCAGACCGGGCCGCGGGGGCGTTGACCCCCGGAACTCTCTCCAGGTAAACTCCAGGTAGGTCACGGTTATAGGCATGTCATGAGGCATGATTTGGATGACAGCCCAGGCATGTTTCTCCATTTGAAGGAAGGCATGTCGAGGTCCATTTATAATTGTCTCTCTCTCTCTGATATATGCCATTATATCTGCAAGTATCTCCGCACGTGTGAAAGTAGCAGAGAATTTAATGTGTGGGATGGGTGAGGGGAGCAGGGTGAAGAGGGTAGGTTCATTAGTGATCAAGGAAAGAGGGTGCTGTGTTAGATGATTCTAGTGATGTGTGCCACTGTGGAAGTAGCTTCAATTAATTTTCTGGGACAAGAGTATAAAGGCAGATGCATTTCTCCAGCGTTTTTAGTTGTTAAAGTCTGTGACGGGATGGTAGTGTCGGTGCCTGGCTTTCAGGCAGGCGTTTAGGGATCTTTTGAAATTGGGGTGTAAATGTGGAAAAAGTTGTCGAAGGGAATTGTACCGGTTGTGTAGTACTGAAGGTACTTGAAGTAGCGAAGAGGTGGGGACTTCAGTGATGACAACTATATGAGGGTTGGAGTCAAGATTGAGAGTAGAGTAGAAGAGGATGTTACAGGGGTTTCTGGTGACAGTCACTGGCTGATGAAACGTCTCCAGAGCAAAGATACCCAAGTGATGCACATGTGTCTCATTTATCAATGTTACGCTTTTTTTTTGCTGCCACTCTGACTGACCAGGAATAACACGCGTCAGGTTTCAGAACAATCCCGGAAAATGACATTGTATATGGAGCGTTTTTTATACAATATTTTTACTACAGCACACTGCATAATAATCAACTTAGTGGTTTTCTAAACCATTTATTCTAGTATCCCCATATTGGTAGAGTAGGGACACGGCCTGATGGTCCCACAAGCTCACTTTCTCTCACAAACACTGGCTTTCGCTCCTCCGAAGGAAAAGAGGACACTGGAGAGAATACGAGAAAGGTGGATTCTTACAGTTTAATGAGAAAGGATGGTGTTGTGTCTGCATCATTGTGCTCTTTGGCACCCCAGGTTGGGCATTTTGGAATGGTTCCTTGGAGGTCCTCAGAGACTTATAACGGTGCCTCGGAGAATACTAATGGAAGCATGGAGACCCATGGTATTTCCTTGGAGACTCATGGTAGATCATTATTAAAGACCCATAATGGTGCTTTGTAGACCATGAAAGTTCCCTTGATCCATAATAGAGCCTAGGACTCCCCATAATAGTTCCTTAGACACCAATAACGGAGTCTTGCAGAATAATGATAGTTACTTAGACACCATAATGGAGCCTTGGACACCCATAATGTAGCCTTGAAGACCAATAATGGAGCCTTGGACACCCATAATGGAGCCTTGAAGACCAATAATGGTGCCTTGGATACCCATAATGGTGCCTTGGAGACCCACCACGGTGCCTTGGAGACCCATAAAGGTGCTTTGGAGACCCATAATAGTGCCTTGGAGACCCATATTGGTGTCTTGGAGACCCATAATGGTGCCTTGGAGAGCAATACTGGTTTACCTGGAGTTTACCTGGAGAGGGTTCCGGGGATCAGGCTGGGACAGGCAGGAGCAACCTGCTCTAAACCCGTGTTTCCCTGGGTTGTGTAATTGATGGGTATCTAGGTGGTTGGCTATCTTGCTTCTTAGAACCCTCTCAAAGATTTTTATGATATGAGATGTTAATGCTATCGGTCTGTAGTTCTTTGCAATTGCTTTACTGCCACCTTTGTGGAGTGGGGCTATGTCTGTTGTTTTTAGAGTGTGTGGGATGACCCGTGTCCATGCTCCCTCTCCATAAATTGCTCAAGGCACCCGATAGGGACTTCTTGCAGTTCTTGATGAACATGGAATTCCACGAGTCTGGGCCTAGGGCAGAGCGCATGGGCATGTCATTAATTGCCTCTTTAAAATCTTGTGGAGTTATACTAATATCTGAGAGTTTTGGAATGACCAAATTTTGGGTTTCGTTCATAAAGAATTCATTTGGATTGTCTACCCTTAGAGTGGGCAGTGGCTCGCTGAACACTGAGTCATATTGGGACCTTAGTATCCCACTCATTTATTGGCTGTCTGTGTATGTCCCATCCCACCTAAGCAGCGGCCCAATACTGGATGTTGTTTTTCCCTTAGATTTGGCATAAGAAAAGAAGTATTTTTTTTTCAATTTCCTTTATGGCTTTTAGTTCTTCCTGTGATTCTTGTCTCCTATAAGATTTCTTCAGCTTAAGTTCGATATTTGCAATTTCATTGACTAGTACTTCCCTTCGTTTTTCAGATATATTGACCCCACTCAGCAGCTCTGTGACTCTTCACCTTTGTTTGTATAGGGAACGTCTCTCTCTTTCTAGTTTACATCTTCTCTTTCTTTTTCTTAATGGAATGTGTCTTTAGCAGATCTCAAGAACCTCAGAATTCATTTTTTCAAAGCAGATGTTCGGATCCGTGTTGTTTAGGATATCTTCCCAGCTTGTTTCATTTAGGACATGGTTTACTTGATCCCATTGTATGTTTTTGTTATTGAAATTGAATTTCGTGAAGAGACCTTCATGACTGCTCACATTTTGCTGGTCCGGAGCCCTGTCCATACATGTCTGTACCTCTGTTATGTTGTGATCTGAGTGTATTGTCTTTGATACAGTTATATTACGTATCTCATGTCAGTTTGTGAATATTTTGTCAATTTTTTAAGAAACTAGTGTCAATTATTTATGAATCTCATGTCAGTTATTTATGAATCTCATGTCAGTTGTTTATGAATATCATGTCAATTGTTTATGAATCTCAAATCAGTTACATATGACTCTCAGATTAATTATTTATGAATCTTATGTCAGTTATTTATGAATCTCATGTCAGTTGTTTATGAATCTGATATGAGATTTATAAGTAACTGACATGTCAGTTATTTATGAATTTCATGTCAGTTACTTATAAATCTCATATCAGTTGTTCATGAATCTCATAAAATGACACACTGTGTTGTATTAGTGTACAACACACTATTAACTGTTAATTATTAATAATTATTTTTAGTAGTAGTAGTAGTAGTAGAGGCAGCAGTAGTAGTAGTAGTAGAGGTGGTAGTAGTAGTAGTAGTAGAGGCAGCAGTAGTAGTAGAGGTGGTAGTAGTAGTAGTAGTAGTAGTAGAGGCAGCAGTAGTAGTAGAGGTAGTAGTAGTAGTAGTAGTAGAAATAGTAGTAACAGTAGTAGTACTGTTATTTGTACATCTGTTGATAATATAATTATAATAATGTGTTATCTTCCCTAG